CAGAAGATCACCCAAGGGAACCAGCACCCTGGAATGACATGAGCTCTGGGCTGGGGAACATATGTGGAGTGGACTTTGCTGTCCTCTTTACTGGCCCAATGCACCTGTACCCTAAACTGACTGGCGTGCACGTGGCTGCCAAGGGCTCCTAGCCGTGCCTTTCTCCAGAGAACTGCCCTCCGCCCAGAAGAGCCACTTTAATTAGAGATGCTTGAGCAGATAGCTCGGTTTTATACATCACTTACTGGTCACCCACCCTCCCACAACCCTGGGACAGCCAGCAGCCAATGACTAACTGATGTTGTGGCATAAAAAGCCAGCCCCCTCGCCTCCAGGCGGGACCACTTGGGTGTGGACACCCACAACCCAGGGCTCCCCGTGGCATCGGGTAAAACCCGAAGGTGGTGAAAACCACCTCTTTCCTTTGTCCCTTGTCCTGTCTGCTTCCTTCATGCCCTTACAGATTTCTCTCTCCATCAATAATTCAAAAAGAGCCGGGCACAGCCGTGCGTGCCTGTAGTCCCAGCTACTGGGGAGACTGAGGCAGGAGAATCGCTTGAGCCCAGGAGTCTGAGGCTGGGGTGCACCATGGTCAAATTTGTGAACAGCCACTGCACGCCAGCCTGGGGAACACAGAGAGACCCTGTCTCTAAAAAAAAAGAAAAAAAAAAAAAAAAGAAAAAATATTTCACTTGCCCAACAATCCTAATATTCTTCCAAGATCACGTGAGCTTCCAAGCTCTCTTCCGCCTCCCAAAACCTGTGTCCCGGGAGAGAGCCACGGATGCTTCTAAGCTTAGCAACAGGAAAAGTTTGTTCCGGTGAAGACAACTGAGGTTTCTCTAAACACAAGTGAAGTTTCACTCTCTAACACGGCACCGTTCCTATGAGCTCAGAGAGGCGAGAAAGCAACAGCATCCATTGATCAAATATTGATTAGGCATCGACTACCTGTCTAGAAGCTACTTGGCACTGTGGGACCCAGGGGGGCACAAGAGAAACACAGTTCCTACCCTGATCCTCCAATTTAGGTCAAAAGGCTTCCCAGACACCCCCCGTCCCCGCCCCGTCCCTTCTGGGGCGGCCGCGTAGTGATGATCAATTGAGCACACGAAACCTCTGAAATGCTTTTAATTTCTTTTTAATGTATAACAGTTACGCCTGAGTTACAGAGGAAGCGCTTACAAGCAGCAGGTAGTTAAAGCAAATACCAGTTTCTCTTTCTAGTCTACTACTCCATATAGCTGAATAAATTATGGTGCGATTATATTTAAACACACACCTCACGCCCGCACACACACACACCCCCTTGCTCACACCCGCACGCACACGCGACTCACTTCCGCACGGAGGGAAATGGCTGTGAGTCAAACACGGAAGCAACGGAGTTGCAGTTCCTAGGAAGAAGGAATGTTCTAGAGGACTGTGCAGACCGTGCCCAGGTGGCTGGCGGATTGGCCGTGTTGGAGCTGACGGAAGAAGCGTCACACAGACAGGAGCCTCGGAGCGTCTTGAGTTGGCGGCTGGAGTGTCCCCATTTGGTCTGGGTTTGGTGGCTCTGTCGGGGAGGGGGCAGGAGAGAAGACCTGTGTACCCGCCCCCCCCAAAAAAGCGCCCAAGAGTGAGGGACACCTTCAGAAGCTTCATGAGAACATCGACCTAAGACGGGCCCCAGAAAATAATGTCTCTGTAGTCGGGCGATCGTGGAATTTCAGCGCGTTCCGGGATCCGGATCTTGCCCTGCTCCGCCATCGCCACCTAAATGATCGGCCGGAGTCCGGGGCCCAGGACAGGCCCCGGGTTCTCAAGCCACAGGCAGGCTGGAAATCTGACCTTCCCATTTTCTTCTGGGCAAACCTGTGTCCTCGTTCTCTCCTTCCCTCCCACCCCCTCGTCACCTGTGTCCTCTGCTCTCTCGTGTCCCTCTGGCAAAAGGACGGCAACGGTAAACCAAGTAAAAAACACGTTATAAAAGCGCCGCTCAGTTCTTACACATCACTTCTTTTCTTCATAGCAAGAGAGAAATACCAAAGGGAGAAACGAAGCAAGAGAAATGGAAGAACCCAACGGAGGCTGGGATGCATCATCTGAAACACACGGCATGAAGGTAGATCCCTACAGATGGTCCCCGGCACTAGCACGACACGCACTGTGGGGTTTTCTCTCCTTTTTTAGTGTGTGTGTGTGTGTATATATATATATATGCATTTATAAAAAGTCAACTTCCTATAAACGAACAGCACATCACCACGTTTCCAACTAATGTACAATGAGCTCAGAAGAGGCCCCCCCACCAATAGAGAGAGCCGACAGCTACTTGTGATAAGTTGGAAGAAGCATCTCTTATTTTGCTACGGACTCTATTTACAGGGGTGGATAGGGGCTGTTCTGGGCCGGCCTGGCCACGGGAATTCCGGCCTTCTTCCTCGGGCCGTGGCCAGCCCCAAAGAGATGGAGGCCTTGTGCCTCTTGGCCACCGTCATCTCTCCGGTGAAGTTGAGAGCTGCCAACACAAGGCTGAATTTTATAGACTGAGTTGGCTGGACACGTTAATGCATGGGGTTTTAGGGAAAATCTGTTGGGGTCAAGGGCCTCTTTCTGAGGGGCTGTGGCCCCTTGGGGAATAAGTCCCATTTTCTACCAAGATGGTGGCTTGGGAGAACTTCAGAGGTGGTGGGTGGAACGAGAAATCATTGGTTTATTCCCAAGCAGGTCTCGGTTCCATCTCACCATAGAGGGCAGATATTTGGGATTGGTCCTAGTGTTGGAATGTCACCTCCTGGGGGTGGGGCTGGGCGGTCTTAATGTCACCTGTCTGAGATCCCCTCCCCCAACTCCTGAGTCACACGGGATATAAAGAGACTCAGACACTTTCTGAGCCAGGCCTCCGGGGGGAAGGGTTGACCGTTCAACAAGGAATGTGCATGAAGAATGGGGTTGGTCCTCAGGAAGAGCTGCTTTCTGCTGGGGCAGCTACAAAAGCAAGGACTGAGTCACCATGGTCCTCCTTTTTGTCCAGAGCTTAAAGAACTGAAGGTCTTCCGCGGTGGATGCTCCGGTTGAAACCTGGTGTAGCTGGGTCACATGTGTCTGGGTGTCTGCCGCTACCAAAGAGGCTGTCTGTCCCCAACTATTAACAAGTTTCTCTAAACCAGAGCCACGAGCCACCCTGACTGTTGTGCAGGGCAGGCTTGATATTTCCAAGTCCGAAGGTGAGAAGACAGGTGGGCATTTGTCACACAGGTGACATCCATGCGGGCAAGTGTCCTGGCATCTTGCCAAGCCAGCTCCCCAGAGGGAGGGGAACTCGGGCTGAGTGCCCAAGCAGCAGCCCCGCCCCCAAGGGAGGTGTTGTCCGCAGAGGGCGGGAGGCGTGGATCGAGCAAAGAAGTGCCTCGTAGGCCAAGTGGGGACAAGCAATTGGGTCCCACGTTTGTGAATTCAGCTCTGTGTCTCCCATCCCAAGTACCTTGTCCCCAGCTGCACCCGACAAAGGTGATCTGCGCGTGGATCGCAATGACAGTGACGCGAAGATGAACGTAATTGTGATAAATAGCGAAGGTGGTGAAAAGTCCCCAAAGGCGGGGTAATCGGGGGCTTGACTCATCCCCCCGGGGCCCCAGCTCTTAAAGGGGGATGACTTGAGGAAGCCACTGGCGTGGTCATGGAAGGTGCCTTTTCCCTCTTCCCTGGAGCCTCTGGCGCCGTCCTCTGCCCAGGGCTGGCAGCTTGAAAAATGGCCACGTCTGCCCCAGCCCAGCTGTGCCGGAACAGGAGGCAGAGGCCTGTTGGCCAGGAGTGAGCCAACACTGAGAGACGGCACTCTGGGTGGGGCAGTGGCAGGCCCCCACGAACATGCCGAGGGGACTCTGTAGTCTTGTCTGTGGGACAAGGGGACCCTCCTCCACATCTCCAAGGGAAGCTCTCTGCACCCCCAGCAGCTTAAGGGGGCTCCCAGGAAGTCCCTGGGGGACTGGGCAGGGCCGGCTGGGGCAGGGTCTCTGGGGGGGCTTTGTGTGAAATCTACACTCCCAGGGTGTGGACAGGCAGGCAGAGGGCTGAAGCCTGGGGTGACAAAGGCTTGCCAGCCAAGGGCCTGATGCTCTGTACTCAAGTCTCCTCATGACTGTAACCCCTCCCCACCTCACCCCATCCCGCCAACAGGAGCCTCAGATGTTCTGCAGCCCCCCCCCCGCCCCAGATGGGGGGGGCCAAGGTGGGACCCTGGGCTCCCGTCTCCGAGCCCTGCTTCCAGATGCCTGAGTTGGGTCCTTGTAGCCTGGGCCCACATGGCCCTGCCCCCTGGATAAGCCTCTTCCTGGGCTTCCCAGTCTCCCTGCCTGGGCCAGATTCCCCCCCACACCCAGAAGAGGTGTGTGGGGAGGGTCCTGAAGTCCTCCGAATTCCTGGGTGGTGGTGAGACTGTTGCCCTGCTGACTCCCCAGGATGACTCCAGGGCCGGGGTCCCCTCTGCTAGAGTCCCAGTGTGCAGAGGAGGGAGGGGCGGTGGTTGTGACTGGAGCCAGAGATCCATGTGGAGGGCTGGCTCCCAGGACTTCCGGCTGAGAGCAGCCAGGTGAGTGTCACCTCTACCTCTGTCCAGGGCACCCTGGAGTCAGGTCCAAAGAGCTCCGGGACCTTGGCTCAGGCACCGTCCTCTTCTGGTGCCCAAGGTGCTCTGTTCAGGTGAGCCTCAGTCTCCGTGCCTGAGATGGCCCTGGGGCCACAGCTGGACTTGGAGGGGGAGGACCGCACCGCAGGCTGGCCAGAAACCCTCCTGGGGAGGGGGTGAAGGGCAGACTCCAGGGCATCACTCTGGACCCCTTGCCACAGGCGAACGACAGGCTGGCTGTCCACCTCCGCAGGGCAGGTGTGAGAAGGGGACGGGCTCCTTTCCTGGCCTCCTGGGATCCCGGGGGGATGAGGGGGCTGAGGCTGGAAGCTCAGGGGTCAGTATGGGTTGGGCCGGGCCTGGGCTGGGGCAAGTCGCCCCAGGGGCCCTAGTAGGCCTGGCCGGTTTCCACGGGCAGGAGTCCCAGCACTGCGGAGTGTTCCCCGAGCTTCATGCGCCGCTGTGTAGACAGGCTCACGTTTTTGGCCAGGTAATCAACAGCAGCTAGAAAAAAAGACAAACTCTTAGACACTGAGGTTCTTTTTGTTTATACTTCCTTTTATAACCCACATCTATCCATCCATCCACCCACCGATCTATCCATCCATCCATCCACTCACCGATCTATCCATCCATCCATCTACCTATCCATCCATCCACTCTCCATCCATCCATCCACTCTCCATCCATCCATCCATCCACCCATCCATCCATCCACTCATCCATCCATCCACCCCTCCATCCATACATCCACTCTCCATCCATCCATCCATCCATCCATCCATCTATCCATCCATCCATCCATCCACCCATCCATCCATCTACCCATCCATCCATCCATCCATCAACTCATCTATCCATCCATCCATTCACTCATCCATACATCCACCCATCCATCCACCCATCCATCTACCCATCCACTCATCCATCCATCCATCATCCATCATCCACCCATCCATCTATCTCTTCAAGAAGCTCTTTCTCTCACCTCCTCTCCAAGCATTCAGCAAGCATTTACTTAACACTTATTGTGTGCCTGGCTCTCTTGTGGGTTCCGTAAGGAGGAACAGAAGGGTTTCCACATGGCTGCGTGAAGAATTGATCTCACTTTCCAACAGCCCTGTACATATCCCTGTTACCGGGGAGGCCCAGGGAGTCCCACTGTGTCCAGGTAATGATGAAGGGCAGGCCCTTCCGCTGTCTCTGGGCCCTGAGCCCAGTCTACAGATGAGGCAAGGCTGAACCCTTGCTCCAAAGCCAAAGCAGCTTCTGCAGGTGGCTGAGGGGTCCCTGCAGAGGGAGGGGCCAGGACACTGATGTGCAGGGAGAGGAGACCCACACCCCCATCAGTTCTGGCCAGCCAGAGAAGACTGATGAGTGTCTGAGGGTGTGTGTGCATGTGAGTGGTGCACGCACACCTGTGTGTGAAAACAGTGGAGACAAGAATCCCCTGCGGCAGTAATGGCCACGCACATGGATGTCCACACAGCAGCAATGCTTGCACACGCATGCACGCACGTATGCACGTAAGCCGTGCGCACCGTCGTGAGTAGACGGATGGTGGGGATGCCTGTGCATGTGCAGGCACCGTGCTCAGGTGAGCTCCACCGTGCTCAGGGCGACCACCGGCCTGCGGGTACGTGTGCTCTGTCTTGACTGTGCTAATGGTGCCTATCCGAGGCTACGGCAGAAATCAGCCCTGACCAAATGATTTGGCTGACACGTGGCCAAGGCCTTCTAAGGCACAGGGATGCTGCCTCCCAAGCCGGGATCCTTGGCTGTGGCCAACCGACCCCCTGGGACCTGGGGGACCCAGGAGTAAGAGGACGACAGGAAGAGCACGGCACTGGAAATGACAAGCCTGGCCCACACCCGCTCTGTCACTTGCCCCCCCCCCCCAGGGAGCCTTGTAACGCTCTATGTGCTGCCTGAAGGTGGGAGGCGGTTGGAGGTCAAAGGTGATGGGCGTGGCTGAGGGTGAGGCCGGGAGGCAAGGTGTGCAGCGGTTGAGCCATGGCCGGCCGTATTGCCTAGTAGCTCAAATAACCGAGGCTGGAATCTTGCACCTGCCAACTGTTAGCGTGTGATTTGAGGCCCCCTACCTCACCTCTCCAAGCCTCAGTTTCTCTGTCTGTAAAACGGGGATAATCACAGCACTTAGGTGGCAGAGTTGCTGTGAAGGTCAAATGAGAAAATGCACCTGAGGCGGTTCGCTGGCACTCTGCCTGGCCCACTGCGGGCTGCACAGCAGTGGGAGACTGGGCTTGGGGTTTAGTCAGCAAATGTGGCCTTTGATGGGGGCAGCTACGCCCTGCCCGGTGGCTTTGGGCACATCACTTTACCTCTCTGGGTCCCTTCCTTGGGTGTAAAATGGGGAGAGCAAATTTGAGCCTTCTAAGGGCTGCTGTTTCCAGAATCGAATCAGAAAATGTTCTTTAAGTTGTGGCACAAAGCGCTCAGGGGCTTGGCCCCTAGATTCCTAAAGGATGTGCAAATGCCCTGGGGTCTCTTTGGAGTATCTAAACCCTGTGCTCCTCAGCTTGCCAGGCTCTAGAGTGGGTGATGAGAGGAAAGTTAAGTCTTCACAGGGCCTGAGCTGAGCCCTGGGGCTGCAGCCTTCCTCTGAAGTCCCTCAGCCTCCGGGCTCCCCGGGGGTAGAGTAGAGGTGGCGGTGGACAGCCTTGCCCTGCCTTACCTCTGCTCCTTCCCCTGGGTGGGGGTGGGGCATTCCCATCTCTAGCCTTGGGGGGGAGGGGACCCTGCTGCCGTGGCCACACCATTTCTGCTACCTGGGACCTGTGTCACCCAGAGTCCAGGGTTCACCCCACCAGGAAGCCTCATTTCCAGAGAGGGAACAGGAGTGGGAGGAAGAGGAGCTAGTGTTGACCCTGAGCTTGCTCTATGCCAGGTGCTGTAAACACCTTGTGCTCCTGTTTCATTTAATTCTCATAACAGCCCTGCGAGGCTGATAACATTGGTATCCCCATGTTGCAGATGGTGGAACCCAGGCCCTAGGGGTTGCATAACTGCAAAGGGCACATGGCTTATAAACCGTGGAGCCGGGATTCTAACCCAGGCAGTCTGACGCCAGCTCCTAGCCACCCTGCAGGCTCCCCCCGGCAGCCTCTAAGACAATAACCACCACTTCAGAGCATATAGAGCACTCTGCACCCCAATCCTGCCCGGGTCCCCTTTTCTACTGCAGGCAGTGGCCAAGTCAGGGGACCCTGCCCTGCGTCGGTGGCTGCTGCCCTCCTCCCCCTTTTCCACACCAGGCCACCCTCTGACACCACCCTCTGCAGCTGCTCCTGTGGGTGGACTGGGAGCTCCAGCTTTTTAAAAAAATGGATACATAATATTTGTGCATCTTTACGGGTGCAGGTGATATTTTGCTACATGCATAGAACGTGCAATGATCAAGTCAGGTATCTGAGGCATCCATCGCCTGGAGTATTTACCATTTCTAGGTGCTGGGAACAGTTCAAGTTCTCTCTTCCAGCTGCTGTGACATCCACAACACGTTGTTGCTATCTACACTCACCCTGCTCTGCTGTTGAACTTTATACCTTCTAAGTAACGGTATGTTTGTCCCCAGGGACCAGCCTCTCTCCACCCTCCCCCCCCCCCCCCCCCAGCCTCCGGTAACCATCGCCCTATGCTGTATCTCCATGCCATTCACTTTGTTGGCTCTCGCACTTGAGCGACAATATGTGGCATTTATCTTTTTGCGCCTAGCTTATTTCTCCTAGCATAATGACCTCAGGGTCCATCCCTGTTGCTGGAAATAACCAGATTTCATCCTTTTTATGGCAGAATAGTATTCCACTGTGTGTATGTATACTACATTTTCTTTATCCCTTTGTCGGTTGACAGACACTTAGGTCCCTTCGACTTCGGATAGATGCCCGGCAGTGGGATCGCTGGGTCAACATGGCAGTTCTACCTTTAGCTGCCTTTGAGTGACAATCATGACAACAGCAAAGTATTGAGCACTTACTATCTGCTAGGCAGGCATGATCTCATTTAATTCTCTCAACAGCCCCATGCCTGAGGTATGACTGTTCCTCTATAAATGTGGAAACTGAGGCACAGGAAGACTGCTGGCCCCGAGCCAGGCACAGGGCCTGGTACGGAGGAGCCCACGTTGGCCACTCAGTGGGTCTCCTCCTCCTTCGCCTCTCCCAGCTGCCCAGCACACAGTAGGGGCGTGCCCGGACCCTACCGAGGTGGCCAAGTGGACACCAGGAGACTAAACTTCCCAGACGACCCAGCCAACTTCAAGGGCACCCAGCCGGCTGCGGAGCCCACCGCTCCCCAGGGTGGAGCCAAGGGGCCAGCGGGGGCAGGGCCGTGACATTCCTCGTTATGGCCCCTGTCAGTGGCCCTCCCTGTCCCTCTGTCTCTCCACCTCTCTCCTCCTCGGCCTCTCACCCGCGCCTGGGCTCCAAACGTCCCCAATTAGATTAATCGGGGGTTGGCAGGAGATGTGGCGGGGATGCCAACCCGTAAACAAGCCTCAGCCGTCAGCGCCTCATCAGCACGCGGCCCCAGAGGAGGACCCTTCCAGACACAAATTCTTATTAGACTTGTCAGCTCTATTAAAATTCTTTTCACACTTCTGCGTCCTATCAGCCCCGTCATTAGCACAGCCCTGGCCTCTGGGAACAGCGGGGCCATATTAATCTGCCGTGCGCCCCATCTCTGGCCCCGGCCCCGCCCCCTCCAGGGACCAGGCGAGAGAGACAGATGGACGGACAACGGCCAGAGCAGGGGGGAAGGTGCAGGGGTGTCCCTGGGAAGACGAGAGGCCCAGGGAGAGGACGGGGACCCTGGAGTCTAAGGGTTTGGCCCACGTGCGTGCTCGTTCCACGCACACCTGCAGGGACGGGTTGTAGGTGCGGCTGCGCACACGTGGGTGGGGACTTCTGGGGGACCTCAGGCAGACGGCCTCTCTGAGACCCTGCTTCCTGCTCTGTCCATGGGGAGTAATGGAGTAACCGTGCGAACTGCACAGGGTGGCTGGGAGGATGAACCGCCAGACTCATAGTAGCTGCTCAATAAACAGGCATTCCTCCTTCACGCACATTTTGTATGTTTACATGAAAGCTGTGTGTGTGCGCACGTTAGTGACGACTCATGTATAAACCCGTCTCTGTGTGTGTGCGTCTGTCCATGTGCAGGTGCGCGTGAAGTTGTGAGCATGGATCCACATGGGGGTGGGTTTGGGGGTGGACCATTGCTGAGTGGCTCACACTGCGGTTTGAAATCAGGAGACTTGGGGCCCACCTTTGCCTGCTGTGGGACTTTGGGAAAGCTACCCAGCCTCTCTGAGCTTGGCTTTTGCATCTGTAACCTGGGGACAGAGAGCTGTGAGAAGTACATGGGTGACGACCATGCATTTCGCCCAGTGCGCTTTGCCACGCGTGCACGGGACAGACGTGCAGGGGTGGCAGGTGGACCTGGGTGTGCCCCTGCACACTCGCTGTGAGAGCCCAGTCACCGGTGTGTTCAGTTGCCCATGGACGTGGGGCATTTGGTTAATGGGAACATGACGTCTGCCTGGGCTTTCTCAGAATGTCAAAGGCGAGGGAGGTGGTGCCATGGAAACACTTTGAGATGACTGTGTCTGATCTGGGGCTCCCATTTCGTAGATGCGAAGACTGAGGCTCGGAGAGGCAGGAGTGTGTCCTGCCCACACTAGTTAGTGGCGGAGGAGCAGATTTTCTTTCCGGCCCCTCCCAGCCCAAGCCAGGAAGCTCTGTGGGGGCGGGTGGGTCTGTGCTGGGAATCCCTTTGAGGAGAGCAGGAGAATGTGGCCCAGGAGCTCTGAGCTGGACCCAAGAGCCAGGGGAGCAGGGGTGGAGCTGGAAGGGAGTGAGAGGAGGAGGGAGAGGAAGGAGGAGGAGGGAAAGAGAAGAATGGAGTGGGGGGAGCAAAGGGGGAACAAACACTCCATTCTCGCCTCCTAGGCCCCTTCCTTTTTGATCCCCTCCCCTGCTGCCCCATGCTGACTTCGGGGTTAATTTTATTTCCGAACTGGGCAGGCGCCCCAGGAGCAGGGCACCCGCTCGGCTGTGACTGACGCCTGCCCCAGGCCGGCTGCCTCTGAGGCCGCTCTAAAGCTTTATCAAGAGCATGTGTGTCCGCCCCGTGCCCGACAACACGGGCTGGGCCCGGGGTCGCCCTGGGCGCCTCTAGAAACGTGTGTGCACCCTGCTCTCAAACATGCATGCATACTCATGCACACACAGTTATCCACACAGAGAGTACACACCCAGACGTATATCCACACACGTGTGCACACGGCACACCTATGCACATGCCCAAACATACACACATCACTATTTACACAGTGCACACATACTATACGTGTCCACACATGTACTCCAAACACGCAGTCACAGACACACTCAAGTATGTGTACATGCCTGAATGCATGTCATCTGTACACATGTACAGACAGCCACACATATTTGTATATTCACATACATCGATACGCTTGCACACATGTTCATTATACATGTCCACATATTGCATTTACATACATATGCCAAACACACACGCACATACATAGCCACACTCATCCATATGCACACACCTGACTGCACATTTAAACTGGTGTGTATATTACAGACAAGTGTGCTCACATATGTGCACACGTGTTCGCACACGTGTATGTACAGTATGCTCATTTATATGCACACATGTGAGTGGTCATATACACACATACCCACATGTGCCCACTCACACGTACTTACCTATATGCAAAGATGCATGCAGCAACGCATGGGTGCTGAAATGCTCAGGTGCGTCACATGCACACAACGCGTGCACAGACACGCACAGATCACAACACTTCCTTGACTCGTGTATTCACAAGCACCCATATACACACGTGTACATGCACATATGCAAACATGCACATACATAGGAAGGGACCGAGAACACAGCTGGGAGGTGGAGGCTGACGCAGCTGGCCCTCATTTGGCCGTGGAGGCCAAGGTCACGTGAGGAGGAGTGGGTTGGGGGCTGGGCAGGAAGCAGAGGTCACTGAGGCTGGGCCAGGGCCTGGGCCGGGGGAGAGGACGCCCTCGGGCTTTGGGGCCTCACCTCCTGGCCACACGCCCTTCTGATTAGTTTGACACCAGCAGGTGAGGCCTTTGCAGGGAGGTGGGGCGGGAGGGGAAGCTGGTGCCCTCCGGCTCCCTGTCCTGCCCGGCCCTCCCTGCTGCTGGCCCCATCAGCGCTGGAGGCTGTGGCCAGGCCTGCCTTTTCTAGCCTTTGGTCCGAGGGTCTGCCACCGTCCCCACCTCAAGCCAAAGTGCCAAGGCGGTAACAGGGGGGGCGGGTGACAGAGCATCACTGAGTTTGGGGAAACCAAGGCTGAGGGTGTCAGGGGGAGCACAGAGGTCAAATCACAGCTTTCCCGGTGCCCAGGGGCAGGAGAGGGGCAGGGTCTCACACCGGGCTGTCCAGACGGCGGCCACCAGCACATGTGGCCATCAACTGAGTACTGGAACTGCGGTTCACGCAACTGGAGAACTGGATCTCAAAAGGGGATTTAATTTTACATAACTTAAAGTTAAAACCTGACCTTCACTTTAGTTATTTAGTGGTTGGAAAACTTATAAGCATATTTGGAACAACTTGGGTGTATATATCTACTTTCTCAATTATAAATTTTATAATTTCATAATGAAACTTAAATACAGTTTGAGCATTTCCAATGAAGACTTAGTGTCGAAATTAAAATGGGCTGTGAGTGTAAAATACACACTAGATGGCAAAGACACGGTATGAAAACGAGAATGTAAAATATCCCATTAATAATTGCATATGGATTGCATGTTGAAACGATCATCTTTTGGATATGTTGGGTTAAATAAAATATGTTAGTAAAAACAATTCCACGTGTTTCTTCTTAGTTTTAAAATGTGGCAACTAGAAAATGTCAAATGACATCGGTGCCTTCTATGATGTTTCTTTTGGAGCCCAAGTGCGGAGACAGGGACCTGGCCAGGAGATGAGCTGGCTTTGATGCCCAATGCAGTCTCATTTTAGGTCAACTGTTCCTCCTTGCTGGACCTCAATCTCCCCATCTGTGAAATGGGCACCCCCACCCCAACGCCACCTTGCAGCTCTCTACAAAGAAGCAGGAGGTCCTCGGAGCGTGGGGGAGGGATGGGGGCCGCCCTGGGTCCCGGGCACTCACTCTGGCCGTACTGGCTGTACTGATAGCCAGCCACGGGGTCCACGCTGTAGCCGGTGGTGCTGTAGGTGGGCGGGCAATAGGACTGGGAGGTGGGCAGGCTGTCCCCCGGCTTGATGGAGTCGGCCCGCTGGCTGCAGCTGGCCGAGATGGAGGTGGCCGAGTCCAGGCCGCCGTGCAGCGGGGAGATGGAGAAGTCGGCCTGCGGCTGCGGGGCCACCGCGCTGGGGTTGCTCAAGATGCTCATCACCTGCGGGGAAGAGACCGTCAGCGCCGGCCTGGAGGACGGGCCCCAGGACACGAGCGCACGTGGGGACCGTGCCAGCCTGGAGGTGTTCCCTTGAGGTCCCCGCCTTTGCCGGAGGTGTTCCCTTGAGGTCCCCGCAGCTCTGAGGTCCTCGGTTTCCCTGGTCTGCGCGCCTCGTGTGTGTGGGAGACGGTTACTGGTCTCCATGCTTCTCCTGCTCGAGTCCTGACCCAGGGAGCCGCCCCTGGCTGAGAGCTCCGGGGGCACAGCAGGGCCCTTCTCCCCTCTCTGTCCCCAGGGCCCGGCTCTCAGGAGCACCCTGGGCTTGTTTTGTGAATGAATAAACGCACGCACAGATGAATGAATGCATGCATGAACTGACTAGCTAACAACGCCTCTCCCATCAGTCGGGAAGCTCTGCCGGGTCAGGGAACACTCCTCCCCCATCAGACCGGCAAGCCCCCATCTCCCAGCACACACCAGGGCGGACTGCGATCTGCCCGGCTTCACCCCTGTTCCGTGCCAGGCTCGCTCCACTCCCCCCTTCTCTGGACTTCAGCTCCCTGCGCCTGCGACACCCCAGTGCCCGCCAGCACTCTCCAGCCACCTCCCAGCTGACTTTCTTCGATGCTCCCCAATGTCTGTGACTATCACCTGCTTCCCTGCTTGGCCTGGGGCTGCAGACAGGACCCCCCATCCGTGCTGGCCACTCAGCCTGACGGGGGGAGGCTGGTCTCTAAAAACTCAGCCTAAAGAACCTGGCATGGAGACGTCGGGGTGCTCACTTGTTCACTCAACAAACGTGCATGGCTGGTGATCCTGGCCCCCGGGGTGAGGGCCAAGGGCCCGGGGACTTCAGAGGAGAGAGAACCACAGTTCCCACCCTCGCGTGGGGAGGGCAGGGGGCACGGCCGGGTCTGGTCAGGAGGCAGCCAGCAAAGACCAGGAGGACACGGGCCATGCGGTCAGTCCGCCCCAGTGACCTCCCGACGATGCCACCCCTTATGGGAGGAAGACCCTGAGTGCAAGGTGGGGACAGCTTTGCTGGTAATCTGCCCGGCGCCAATCCCCACCGGGCACACGGCTGTGTTTTCTGACCCCCTCCTGCGGGGCGAACATAGCCATGGTCTTTTGGCCAGCTAGACACCTTCTGAAGGTTTTACCTTTCCATTCGATCTGTCCCTGCCATAGGCGTAAGGGCAGGGCCGTGGGCGGGGGCTCAGACGTGGATTCCTCTGGCCAAGGACAGACACTGACTGGCTGTGGAGCCTTCGGGGGCGTCCCTTAGCAGTTAACGCATCCGACTCTCCCAATCCAAAGCCCTGCAGAGATGTGTGGCGCAGAGCTAGGGTGCCCATTCCTCAGACGGAAAAACCGAGGCCCACAAAGGACCATGGCTTCTCCAGATCTCGCCACGGGTCTGCACGTGAGCAGTGCACCTGTCCCTGGCTGGCCTGCGAAATGCCAGACGGCCGCTCAGGGATGAGTTCAGGCTTCGCACCCCTCTGGAGGCTGTCTCCCCAGGGACCAGTGGAAGGTGGGGGGTGAGTGGGTGGGACCCCCTCTCCGAGCACAGCCTCTGCCTGAGTCTTCCCTCCGTGCCCCCAGCACACGCCCTGCAGCCCTGGGGGCTCCTCCTCCATCTTTCCCTGCCCCCGCCCTGGCAGAGCTGTGTCCGGGCGAGGGCTTGGCAGGCGGGGCTGCCCACCGGCTGGCCTTCGCCTCCGCTGCCGCCTGCGGGATTCGGGCGGGATGCAACGGTGTGACGGCCCCACGAAGATGGAGGAGACACCCAGATGGGTGTGCAGGACGGAGAGAGAAGGTTTTGGGGGAGGCCGAGCAGCCCAGCGCCTGGGCCACTTCCGTGGCAGCGTCGTTTCAGGGCTCGGGGTCCCCAGCTCTGCCGTGGCAGGTCGGCAGCAGGGCTGGGGTGGGTGCGAGGGGCCGGGCTGTGTTCGCTGCTTTCTGTCTGTCACGATGGGATCTCCTGAGCTGAGGGATCTGCAGGGGGACCAGGACCCCGAGGCCAACTCAGGAATCTGACGCTGCCCTGGGCTGTCGGCTTCCCAATCTGGACCCTACGTTCTTCCCGCCCCCTTTGCTGCCCCTCGAAGGAGGCCTGGGCCCCGAGGACAGGCTCAGAGCTCAGGGGACACACGGGCCCCGGTTCCCGTCACTCAGCAGGACAAATGTCGGGGTGGGGACTCCGCCCTGGTGGAGTCCAGTTGGATGCTTCCCCGAGATGCACGTCCCCAAGGTCCCCGAGCTGCAGAAGGGATGACGGGAGGGAAGAACGGGGGACCCTTAGGGAGAGCACGAGGGACAGGGCGAGCGCTGTGCACAGACCCAGGACGCATCCTGTGGGACAGAGACCCACACGGAACTGCCACCAATCCCAGATGCCATTCAAGAATCATCAGTGGCCTCTTAGGACCTCCCAGAAAAGGCTTCTTGTGACCTGATCTCTACCTGGCCGTCCCAACCCTCCCACCCCTTCTTACCTTGCACTTTTCCTCCCAGCTCTACCAAACATGCTGTGTCCTAAAGACATCCCGCTTTCCTTCCTCTATTCATCCAACAAACACAGCTTCACTGCTCCATGCCAGGCTGGAGACAGGGCCGGGCTGTGAGCTCTCTGGGGGGAGGATGGGGCTCTGTGGTCCCAGTGCCCACATCGAGCCTGCTACATGCCCCGGGCTGGGAAAAGCTCTGTTGAATGCATGCGTATTCATTGAACTAGCATTTACTGAGTGTCTATTACGTGCCAGACTCTGAGCCAGGCACTGGGGTACAGCGATGAACAGTGCCCATCCCCTGCCCTCCAGGAGTGGCGCTGTCGGTCTAGTGATGGGAGCTGACAACAAACAAGTGAGCAAATAGACAATATCATTTCTGACACTGATAAATGCCATGGAGGAAAGATAAAGGGGGTCGTGGGGTAGTCAGGCAAGCCCTTCTCAAAGAAGTGATATCCAGCAAGGCCAAAAAGAACAGCCCTGGGAAGGCATGGCAGAAAAGCTTTTGAGGCAGGGGGAATCAGCAAGTGCAAAGGCCCTGAGGTGCCTGGGACCGAGGGCACTGAGCTTCGAGACACGCCCAGCAGGTTTAAGAAAGAGCAAGAAGGTCAATGTGGAGAGTAAAAATCCCGGGAGCTGCAAAGCCTCCTGCAGTCCTTTCTGGAAGGGGCTTGCCTGGTGCCCAGTGGCTCAGGAGTCCCTGGACCCTGGGCAGCCAACAGGCAGCTCAGAAACAGCTCGGGCCCAGGCAGCTTTTGCTGTGATGGGATTTGCTCAATGGGATTCGCCCTGGAACATCAAGTCGAATCCACATCTAGGGTAGGTGTGAAGGGGGGATGGCAGCACCAATCACTCTCTCCCTGGAGGCCCCTGGATCAAAGGGCTTCCATTTCATCCAACCCCTTGTCTCCAGGCAGGGCAGAACCCACATGGAGAGAGGTGGGAGGGGAGGACCCCTGCTGATGAAGTCCCCAGCCCGGAGTTACATGGGTCACTTCACTGATGCCTCGAGCAGATGGGCTATTACTACACCCATTCTTCGGATGGGGAAACTGAGGCACCAGGAAGTGAAGAGTCTCACCTGAGGTCACACATCCGGTAAGTGGCGGAGCTGGGACTTGCACCCAGGGGTCCCAGACCCCTGGCTGTGCTCTTCCCTGCGGCAGGCTGTGCTGGAGAGAGCATGGGGAGCCAGCCGCTGGCGACCCCACCGCGCAGCGCCCTCAGGCCTGCGTGGCCCTCGCGGCCCCTGGCTTCCCCGGGACCTCCGGGTCCCTCTGTGCCCGAAGAAGCAGGGAGCCGGCCACGGGGAGGGCCCAGCTGAGGCCTGGGGCCTGCAAACTTTTGAACTTGAGGAAGTCCCGGTCCGATGCGGTAATCCACCCCCCTCAAGAATGCGGAGACCTCTCCCCGGGTGGGTCTGACTCTTTCCCGGTGACCTTGCTTGCACTAATGTATTACTTCTTGGTACGTTACCGTTACTAACTCAAAATCAATACCGACCTCCACATCTGCAAGGTTTTATCTGAAGGCAAATCTCAGGGCTGTCCGTCAGGCTGACTGACAGCCACCCCTCCCCTCCTCCCCTCCCCGCACCCCCACCCGCCCCGGCCCCCACCCGGCCCCAGCCCCTTCCCCTCGCCCCGCTCCAAATCAGTCCCAGCCTCGCCCAGACTAAATCAATAAGGGCCAGCTCACCCTCCCTTCCGCCCGCTGGGGAGAGCCTTGCTGGTTTGGGGGTGGGGGCCCCCCTTCCACAGCCTCTGCTTGCCGCCCCCTCCCCCGGGACGCGACGGCCCGCTCCCCTACTTTAAAAGAAGGGGATGGGAAAAATGTAATTAATTCCCTCCGTTCCTGAGCTGGCCCCGAGGGCCTGGGACCGAGGAGGCTGAGCTGCAAGATCTGCACCCTCTGTGATAACCGAACGTGGCTTTGGGAGCGCGGCTGCAATTAGAAGGGGCGATCGCCATCGCGGGCTCCGTGGCAGGGTCTGCGTCCGGGAGGGGGCGGCGCAGCGGGGTGCAGAGGGGAGAGGGAGGCAGGGGCCGGAGAGCAGAGGTCGGGACGTGGGGGTGGGGGAGACTCTGGAGGTAGGACAGGGCCTGGCATCAGCTGCAGGTCACAGAGCCCCACCCCCGCACTGCCGGGGTCGGGGGACCCTGAGGCCCCAGAGGACCCTGAGGCCCCAGAGGAACAGCAGTTTTCTCTGCAGCAGGGGGTTGGGCCAGAATGTCTGCGTTAGCATCCCTGCACTGCTGCGCTGGCGGACTGTGGCCCTGGGCGATCTCTTTAACCTTCCTGTGCCTCAGTTTTCTCATCTGTGTAATGGGAACCATGATGATGGTGGCTACCTGCAGAGTCGCTGTGATGACTAAATGAGTAAATGCACGTGGAATGTTAAAGACAGTGCCTGGTGCATCGCTTATTCCCTGTGAATGCTACCTCTCCTCCTCCTCTTCCTCTGTCTTCTCTCCACACTACCTGGAT